CCCCCCCCCACCCCGCCCCCCCCCCTTTCTCTCTATCCAGCGTGGTATTCCCCCCGCTGCAAGAGGAGCTTGCTTACACGCACTAGAGGTTTTTGCTCGGTGTATGTCAGAAGTCTTGGCATAGAAACAATGCAGATGCAGCTGCAAAGAGGCTTGCCTCATGGATCTTGCCGCTGCGTTGCAACGCAAGAACGAAAGTGTCCTCGGGGCATGGAAACCAAAACTGATTCAGAGCAAGAAACAGAATGAGCTTGCACCAAGGTCTCGGCAACTTTGCCAAGCAGCATCTTGACATACGTGGTGAGTGCTTTTATCTGAGCAGTAACAAGCAGGAAACAGATCAATGGACGTTCCCAAAAGCTCCAGGCGACAAAGTTTTGCTGGCCATCACATTCGACAGTTCAGGCATCAAGAAACCCGGACACTGGTAGAAACACTGCCAAACCCTATGGGGCTTATTCAGCATCTGCTCGATTTCAGATTTCCTTCGGGAACAAGAGAACCGAGAATCAAAGCATTTCACATCGTTACCTGCAGATACGGCAACAGATGAATTCGACCGAGCCCTGGTTACTGGGTGTGAAATATCGAGATTTTGCCAAATCTCAAAGGCTGCGAGGACTCCTCGTTGCACTCTCGCCCCCTGCCCATCCCCGCCCGCTGCCAACCAAAACAGGTTTGCACAGCGTCTTCGTGGATTCGGAGCTTATCTGTGGAGTTTCGTGAATTTCGAGCAGCGTGCTCGAGTGCATAGGGCATTCGGCTTGTGACTTCCGTTGGTTTGTCTGGAGGAAGCTCAGGCAAGAGTTTTAATTGCTGGTTCGTCATTCTTGTGTTTGCCCCTGTCAGTCTCCTGTCTGTCATTGATGGTAGGGTTTGCTTCCCTCTTGCTTCACGGCAGCTCTCCTCAACCTGTAGAACCCATGGTGAGGTAGACACCGGACAATGCCGCACTCCTCCAAAACCACGGGACACGTGCACCCACGGCTCTAGTTGACTCTAATTTACAACCATTGGTGCAAACGCAAAATGACGAGGTGGGCAAAATGGCTTTAGTTGGGAATGTCAGATTGGGCGAAGAACAAACATCGCCGCTCATGCTACCAGTTCCCCGAACCGCTTGCTGATTGAACTTAAGCGGGTCAGCGACTGCACGTTTCCTTTCGACTTCGATTTCGCGTTCTCGATTCTGCATATGATAACACTTGGCACGCTGGCTGTTTTGTGTCCAGAATGGTTCAGTTCCGCAGCTAATCCATTTCTGAGAGCCAGAGGCTCTCCGGCTCTCACACGATCTCACACGACACGTCTCAATGAATGCCTCTAAGTCTCCAACAAGGTTCCAAGCGAAATCCAACGCAGCATCTTGATGAGAACAGCCGCCGACAGTTCAGCTAAAGGCTTGGGCTTGGGAGGTTTCTTCCTGCTCCTTTTTCAACGGAGCCAGCTCAAACGATTCATCCCTGCCTCGTTCTGGTAGTACCAGTTCCTTGGCAGCATAAAAGACAAAAAGCTATGAAGCACTATGTGCAGAGCTTCTTGAATCGTCGAGTCAGTCGGAGTGGGCGAAAACGGTTATCCCACCAGCACATCACACACTTCTCCAAGTCGAAGCACTTATGGGCGAGCTCCAGGTTTTTGCCATCCTTCTGCGCATCGGCTGGAGCCTGAGAATGGAGGTGATCAGGCTGTCGGACAGTCTGGGAAAGTCAGCCTTCACCAGAAAGCTGACACCGTTGGTTTCAAATTCGACGAAACGATAGGATGTGTCCAGTTCACCTGGCCCGCAGTATGAGAGTGCGTTTGAGTGCATGCCACCAAGGACTCTCAGCCGACCTGCGCTGCTGCCAGCAATCTGCGGGAGTCCCGTGATCATCAAGTTCCTTGAATTGGCAACTCTTGCTGCACACACACACACAGAGACACACACAAAGCACCTTCATGCAATTGCATGGGCCGGGTACACACCCACATTTGGCGACGAAGCGACAGCAGAAACGGCCTAAACTAAACAAAACTGTCGGTTCACAAGCAACCCGGGTTGAAATAGACTGCTGCCGTCCGACGATATTATTCATCTCCGCACAGTCGGTAAGGGAACCCGATCTGCCCTCTTTATTCCGGCGAACGTATTCCGAAGTTCGGAGGGACTCTGGTCGTGGCAAGTTGCAGATGTGGTGAAGGGTGCAAACTGTCAAGGTGCTCAATTGGACAACGCTTTCTGCACATCATGGTGCACAAGCATAGCAACGGTACTACCCGACGAGGACGTGCACAAAGCTGAAAGCTCCATCGTGTCGCGCTCCCGGGGAAGAAAGCAAAAGATATCGACATGACCGGGCGATCAACCGCATCATGGCGACAGTGCCGAACACAAAAAGTCTCACCGGAATTGCGTGTCTGGAAATTATAGTAGGAGCAAATTGAGGCCCTGCAGAATGCGGAAGACCTCACGAATTGAATTGGTGGTCGAATCGATGAGTCTGAGTGCCCCACTTGGTTTTGCAGTCTCCGTAGGCCAAGCGTCGGAAGGCAGGTGTGTAAGTTCCATGGTTGGAGACCTCACAAAAGCACACCATCTCCTTATGTCGCTTTGCAAACTGCAGTGCTGCTGTGTGCTCAGGCGGTGCCTCGGAGCGCTTCCATGCACCCCGGTAAGGGAAACACCTGTGGCTCATGGTCGAACCCCACACGAACGGCTGAAACTTCAAGTCTGGGTTTGTCGCTTCATTCGTTTCACATCCAGCAGATGCTCCATAACGAGAGCCTGCTGTCCAGCACCGGGTAAAAAAGTTGAAATTTGCCCTGCAAGTGATGCTCCTTTGAACGTGACGAGCCTTGCCATCCGCAGCTTTGGAGATCTTCACGAGATCGACCGGGTTGTTGTGCTGGCGTATCAACTGTTGAGACGCGCAAAACGTTCAGCAACGCTCTGCTTTGTATGCAAATTGGATTTGTCTTGAGTCTTGGCTGTGCTCATAGGGACACGCCTGCGACCGGAAGACGCAAACATGGCAAGATAGCCTGTCCCTTGGGCATCAAGAAGCCCGTTAAGTTTTCACTGACGTACTCCAGAAGAGTCCTGAGTGCACAAAGACACCTTACAGTAATCAGTAATCTTCTCAATGAGAATCGGTTTTGCGGCAACCATAAGCCAGAATGGTCAACAGCAACAACATCAACTTCGTTTTGGGGGGCGTCGACAGCCGAGGGTGTATTCCCTTCGCACACCTCGAGCTGCCGAAAGCTCACGACAATGCTTGCCCTGCTTGAAAGGATAACACACTCTGCCCTTGCCTAGGCGGGGGGGTAACTGGACAAAGCCTTGGGGATTTTGCCGTTTTACACTGCCTTCTGTGATCCGTGATAACAACAACAACAAGTTTTATTGGACGCTGAGCGAGCGGGCTCTGCTCATAGCGGGCGAGATGCCACTGCCATAGCACCAGGCTGTACAGGAAATCAGAGCTTATGGAAAAAGGAAGTGGAAGCCAAGCCTAGCCCGTGTCAGGTGTTTGTCTTGACCATGATTTGCATGGTCAAGGCGTTGCCTTGCTGAAAACGCGGGCGTTGTCCGGCCTGCATGAAGAAAACTGCATCAGCATGAACCGAAACGGCTCCTGCTGTACACTGTGATTAATCGACCAGCTCATGTGCAGTGTTTGAACTCCTTCTGAAACAGAAGAGGACTAGCATGACCGAAGTATTCGTACAGTGAGACCACGTCTGTCACCCTCAGCGTGAGCCAACGCGTCCGATGCTCACAAACCAAAGTCTAGTGGGTCGGACTCCTGAGCACGGCCGTCCGCGCCATATGGACATGAATTCGTCTGCGGAGGAATCCAAATATTTCGGGTGCAACCATCGCCTGCAAATCGGCTACCGCCTGCACCCAGTCCACGTCTCGGCCAGCGTCGGTGGGGGCAGGTGTGCTCTTTTAGGGAGGCGGTGCCTCTGCCCGAAATGGGTCTGCAGGCCCACTCGGCCGCGGGATGGGGGTGCCTAGATTCCTGGCAGCTTAGCGGCGAGCATATTCCGCCTGAACAGTGTGGTGCCAATTGGATTGTCGCCCCCTCGTCGGGTAGTGTTCCCGGATGCCATTCTCAGTGTGAAAAAAGGTCGGGCGTCCGGTGTTCCGGCTGGTGCAGCAAGCACAAGCCAGGCTGTCCCCTGTTTGCGGATGGGTGTTGATTCTGAGACCCTTCGGCACCAGCTCCATGACCGTGGTTTGATCCGGTCCCCCGCAATACTGCGGCCATTTTTCGACGAGCGGCTGGATATTCGAAAACTGGGGGGCGGTTGATCCTCCCTCAGCCGTGCAGGCGTTGCCCCAGGCTGTGTTTATGCTTTCGAGGAGGCCGGACGATTCAGCCTGTCTGGAGGTGGCATCCCCTGGCCAGCCTTTCTGCCAATTCCAGCAGCGTGTCAGTGCCAACCAGTTTTTGGGGAACTCCGTCGGTGTCTTCAAGTTTCGGGCCGAGGGTTTGGCAAATGCGCCTCCCGCTTTAAGGACGTCATCCACGATTATACTGTAGAGTTCTTGTCCAAATGCCATGTACAGGATCTGGATAGATGGCTGAACGACCAGGGTTGGCCCAAAACAGCAAGCATCAAGGCATGTTTTGGTCGAAGCATGAGGAAGCCTGGAAGATGTGGTCCCGTTTCTCACCGATGGCTGTGACGAAGTAGTCAGGTGGTCCGTACTTGAGCTGCTCAGGCTCGGTGCTGCAGCCGCCGACAAAGCCCGGATGCGCATGCAGTTGTGCGTTGAAATCAGCCGCCAGTAGAAGCGTGTCCCGAGAGGAAATAGATCGTAGCACAAACGCTAGAGAGTTCAAGAATTCCCCTCGATCCTTGTTTGTTCTGCTGGACGGTCTTTCGGGACGACCAGGCATGCTGATACGCCACCAAGATCTGCACTTTGGCTCCCTGCCAAGGGAAAATAACTTGTATCAGCCTTCCTCGGATGTGTTCCTTCCGGCATATTTTCTTGTTGTCCACCTCCGGGCCTCCGGGTTCGTGTCAACAGCAGCTGCATGCGGCGGTGCTTCCTGCTGTGCAGGGCCAGGCTGGCTTTGGCGGTACCGGGCCTTTGCTTTACCTTTGAGGGCTCTAACGGCTCCCTTTTTAGCAGAGCTGATGCATTGCCAGCCCTCGGCCACAGATTCTGCAGTCTCGTTCCAGGGCGCTTCCTGAAGTGCGAGAACATCGCAGGTCCGCCAGGGCTGGTATGTAGCCCACGTCTTAATTTCAGACCACTGCTGTGTGCCAAGACTGCCAAGATGGCCAGCATTCCACGACAGTAGCCGAATGGGCTTGCTGAGTCTGCCTCGTCTGGTGCGCTGATCAAAATGAAGCTGGGTGCTGTGGAGTGGGCCGGAAGGAGCAGAGGCTCCAAGCCGCTTTACCTGAGGTACTTTGGCGTCAGAGAACCATGCCTGTAGTCCTCGGCTGGACTGCGTGCGATAGACCCAAGTAACAGGCCTTTCTAAAGGCTCGCTTGCATATGCTCTGAAATGAATTCTGGTGCCAGGGCAGTGTCGCTATCCGCTAGTTTCGCAAAGTCGAGCCTGGGCAAGACTATGCTCCTTGCACCCCGCGGACATGTGAAAACCCCACCGCCAAACTCCGTCAAGGCATTGATAGCGGACTTCGAGAGGCCCGGGAAGTGGGGCCCGGCAGACCGCAGGCAGCCTGTTGTGAGCCTCTAGGTTAGGACCCGCGGCCTGGTTAGCAGAGCTACACTGCCTTCTTTGATCCGTGGCGGCAACAGCAACAACAGCAAGAGCAATTTTCAATTGGACGCTGCGCGAGCGTGCTCTGCCGCAACACCAACAGCAAAAGCAACAGCACCAGCGCCAGCAACAGCAGCAGCAACAGCAGCAACAACAGCATTCATTCGCTTGCAGCGGGAGACGTCTCTGACTGGTGTGAAACTATTCCTCGCTTGGCGAGCGGCTGACCTACTTGGAAAGGGACTAGTCTCCGCTCCTAAGTTGTCGCTTAGCTGCGCTCTCAGTGTTCGAGGAGTAACTCCGTCGGGAAGCTTGTTTTGCCGGATTTGGCTGCCTGTAGCACGTTGTTGGCCGAGCCTTAGCCCTGCACCAACACACTATCCCCGTCCCTCACGACTGCAGGAACATGCGGTTGGCGGCGATCGACTTTCCTGAAATTCGGATCAGTTGAGCAAAGCAAACTTCCATGTTTGCAGGTCGAGCCTAAACTCAGCACCTGCTGCCGTCCCGCCCCTTAAGGCCTTAAGGCTGCAGACCTCAAGTTCCAGCGTTTGCAATGCTATCATTAAAAACGAGATCATGCCTGATGGACCAATCGTGACCCTTCTTTCTGTTTGCGGCAGCGGTAGTCGCTCTCGGTGCGAGAGGAGTGACTCCGTCTGAGCTTCAAAAACACAGGGGGCTGCTCTTATGCACGCTGTTGGCGGCGCCTAAGTGCTGCACCAACAGTTATCCGCGCCCCTCAAGGCTGCAGAACCGTACATTTGGCGGCTATGAGTCTGCGACCAGTCCTTGGCGTGTCCCGTCTGAAAGCTGGTATGGCTAGCATCACAAACTGTTATGTATGCAGGCCGAGCCTAAGCTCAGCACCTGCAGTTGTCCCGCCCCTGAGGGCTGCAGACCTCAATCATTAAGTCTGCGGCGCCATGCTTGGTTGTCGAGAACATGCCTTATGTGGACCAGCTGGCCTCCTCGTCCGACTCCCACTGCGAACGCATATCTGAAACTGCAACGAGGAGTTACTCCATCGTCATTGTGTTGAAGTAAGGCAATACACGCCCAATTTCTGTTGCCCACCTTACCGGAGCGTCTCCTCGCCTTCTGACGGACTTGAGCGCTTCTTCCGGACAGCCTGCAGGAGCTTCTCCATGCCAGCATGCGACCTGAACTGCTTGTCGAGAGAGCAGGCATCACAGAATTTACCTGCTGGGGAGTTTCTCCTCTTGGGCAGGATAAGGTCACCGATCAGCCAACAGACTCTCTTCGCTTCTGGCCGCCCCCTTTCCGTTTGTCTCGCCCCTTAGTTGGGGGAGTTACTCCACCTTTCTGCCTTTTCTGGAGAGAATCTCCTCCAGAGCCCCCTGGTGCTTCGCCTCGTTTAAAGATTGGTCCGCCATTGCGCCACAGAGTATCGTTTGCAGGGACATGGGGAGTTTCTCCACCCTAACCTGCCTAGGCTTGAGGGTCGTCTCGCTCGAAGAACAGCAGATAGCAATTGGTGGAGATAAGTGGATTAGTGAGTGAGACCTCATCCGGGGGGAGAGCGTCGTCCCCCAAGTACCAGCGTCCTGAATAGCTAACTAGCCCGCGATAATGTCCTGATGTGGCTTCCTCACCGACATGACCAACGCCAGCCCTGAGTTTGACTTACCCACACCACCATTAACTCAGCTCCAGCAAAGAAGGGGAGTCTAGTACTCTCATGTAGAGTGACTGCCGCACAATTCTTTCGTCTACCCACAAACCTTGGGAGTGCTATGTAGGCATGCTGTGTTGGCTTTAGAGGGGCATGAGTTCGATCCTGCAAGGTCCAGGGCTGCAGCATCTGCGGAAACGAGTTGTCAACCTGGACGTCCAGGTGAATGGGAGCTGTGCCTTCCTCATCTACAATGACTCCAGCCTCGATTGGTGCTCGAGTCTCCCAGCTTCCTAGTTGATGAGGACGCAGGTTTGGAAGGATTTTCAGGAAAAATTCTGCTGCATCATGCTGCCTGCCGTCAAAGGACCATCCACGTGTTATTTGCTCCAGGGAGGGTAATGTGCTCTGGAGTGATTCTGGCCAGCCTACTGACCTCCAGGGCTTCATGCAGAACTCTTTCACCGAGCGTCATGATAGCCCAGCGAAGACACTGGAGTACTGCATCGGCGAAGCAGTGGTTCCTGTGATTGGCAAGCAGCCAGAAACCTTCGAGCTTAAACACCGGCGAAGCCACCCCCACCTGAGCTGTTCCTGTCTGACTTGCAGTGCTCTTTGATGGCACGTCCTGAGACTTGGGCCTAGGCTCGTATGATCTAGGCTGGAGGTCTAGCTGCTGTCGACCTGCTGCTTGCAGCTGCTACACATGCTTGTAATAGCAGAACACACTGCAAAACATGTCTTCCTGGTGCATCCACCTTGGTCTGGCAGTAGCGACATGGACAAGAGAAGTGCACGTCGCAAAAGGCAAACAGAGAATGTGCCAGCTTACAACCTTGCTTAATGCCCCGTTTCGTGGCAATACTAAAGGAGGAGTCGCTGGCCGTCATGTCGTACAGGGCCTTTTATGTGGAGTTTGCCGACTACTCAATTAGTAATGGATCTGATGCTTCCTCGAGTGCTTCTCTGAGTCTCCTGCGATCAACTGTGTCAAAAGCTTTGCCAAGTCTACACTAAGGGTAAGGCTGCCCCTCAGCTTAAGCCCTTTATGTCCCTGGCCCGCAGTTGTGAAACCCTCGTCCCGGTATAAGCCGAACTGTGAGACTCCGGCTGTTGCCTGCTTCAACGCCGGTTTTAGTCTCTCTCTATTTAAACCTGCCAGTATTTTGCCCTCAGGAGCAATGACTCCTGTTGGGCGCCATGAGGCAGGAGTGTCCGGCTTTTTAGGCGGCTTGGGTAGCCATGAGATACAAGACGAAGTTGTTTTGGAGTCCAACTCCGGCTTCTGCATTTCGGCTTTCAGAAGGTCCACAATGTGTTGGACGGCAGTAGACCCCAACGACTGCCAAGCAACCACCGGTGGACAGCCTTTGGGTACAGCCATCCCGACCTTCACTGAGTGCAGCTGCATCCGCACCTCGGTGGGTGAGGTTTGCGTTGCACCAACAGCGCCGCTTAGCTGGAAATCCTCACCACTGCCAAATAAGTCCCGAGAGTACTGCTCTAAGGCCTGCCTTTCCTCTTCCGGCAGCAGAAATCGACCTTGCGAGTCCCGAAGCTGACCCCGTTCCTTGGGACGTCCTGTCTTGAAGGACTTAATGACTTTAAACAGTGTGTGGCTGCCATCTTTAAACGCCTTCTGCTCGGCCGGAGACAGCCATTCATCAATCAACGCCTGCCGATTTGCGAACTTTCGCTGTTTGGCTTGCCTCGCTGCTGAGCTCTGCCTGGCTATGGAGCTCCAGTTGGTCCAAATTACTCTAAGTTTAAGTTTGGAGCGCAGGTCGGAGAGGGCTATCACGGTATGCGTCAGGTTCCTAATGATCCTCTATGTTCCCAGACAGTGGCTGCTTGGAAGGCGCACAGCTCACATCGCTTCGGGAACTGCTCGACCAGAGCTGACTCTATCGCCGCCCTGAGACCATCCCAGGACGGATTGTCTTGCTCCAGACGACTCTCAAGACTCTCAATGCTGTCTGTGAAAAACTGGATTCTAGGGTCATTCATCCTGTAGCATTCCTGCATGTAATTTTGATCATACGGCTTCTGCTCAACAGCGGAGTACCTCCTGCCATGAATGACTTCCCCCCTTAGAGGGAAGTGCCGACTCCCCTCTCTCCGCCGAGCTACTTCAAACTTCCTGTCGGGAGAGCAACTCTTCCCAGGACCTTGTGACTGATGACCTTAGCAACACAAAATCAATTTGACTTAGGGAGTTGCCTTGCGCATGTGTTGCCGGTTTTCTGACCGACCATGTGTTGGCTGTCACCAGCAGTCCTTGGAGCCTCGATGACCCAGGCGACTTGCGGAGATCGTGCAGGGACCTACGTGTTTCGGTCCATCAGAAGTGGCATGTTAAAATCTCCTGCAATGAGGAGAGTGTTCCTCTGCGGAAGTGCACTCAGAGACTGACTGAGCTTGTTAAGTGTGGCGTGTCGCATCTCTTTGTTGCCGTTGACGGTCTCCTGTGAACGCCACACACATTGGTAGTAGGAGAATACGTCCAACGAGGTTTCTGTCCCGGGAATACGGACGTGCAAAAGTCTTCCTGGCAAGACCTTAGGCGGGCAAAGGGAGTGATGAACCATAACCAGTACTCCTGCTCCCCTTTCTTCGTGGGAACCTGAGCTGATGATGTGCCATGGCCCCTTGTTGAACTGCCAGCTGCCCCTCCAATGCGTTTTCTGAATTAGGACAACCTTAGTCTCTGCATAAGGCTCGGTCTCGAGAAGGGAGAGTAGCTCTTCCCAAACTGCCGTTGTCAATGATCCTGCGTTCCAAGAAAGAAATTCGATCGCCTTATCATCTTGAAAACTGCGAAGCTTCTTTCCTAATAACTGGCTTAGCTTGAGCCGGCGTACCTCCTAGCTCCGTAAACGTCATTTGCTTCCCTTTGTAGTATGCGCTTCCATTCTTCTCTGCTTGACGGAGAGCCTTTTGATATGATCTTTTTCCTTTCCCTTTGGGATGTGAAGATCTTCCAGTGGTCAGATCGCTGTGCTGTTTCGCCGTGCTCATATTAAGCACGGCTCTCGCCGGCTTCGCTGGTCGACAACCCTCACCTCTGGGAGCTACCATGTGTCTGTAATTGGTGAGGTGCTCCCCCCCGGAATTGGGACCGGGGCAACTCAGGCACTGACAAGTGCTGCCATGGCGCGCGAGGAAGCGGCGGACTGTACTAGCCTGACCTCACCTGAGCCGAGAGGCTTAGCAACAACAGCAGCAACAACAACAACAGCACCAGCTGCAACTGATGCCACTGCTGCTGCTCCTGCTGCTGCTGCTGCTACGGCGGCAACTGCTGTTACTCTGCTGCCGCTGCCGCTGCCGCTGCCGCTGCTGCTTGCGCCGCCGCGGCTGCTGCTGCTGCTGCTGCGATGACGACGACGACTACTACTACTACTTCTGCTGCTCACTGCTTGTTGCTGCGATGACTTACGATTACGACTGCACGATGGTGCTATCTCGTGGAGTTAAACCCCTCTCACCCGCTCCCACCAACACCTGGCCAATTTCTTGGGAAGTACTCGGCAAAAAGGGACTGTCAAGATATGAACAGTCTGCGGTACAGTCTCGTGTTGCACTGATAGAGGAGCCAAGGGAGAATAATCTTTGATACACGGCCCTTACACGCTACAGCGAAGCCAGCCAGAGCCGAACCCTCTCAAGTTTCGCCCCACTACTGTGTGTGTGTGTGTGCAAATTCTGTTGGCATGTGCTCCAATGGTTCGTCAAGCCTGTACGTAAGTTAGGGCTGGGAACCATGGATCTCCTCCCCGCTCGATGAAAGGCCGCTCGATGAAAGGACAACTACAGACACTACAACAGCGACGACCAAGCAAAATCCCTTTAAGTTGCCGGCACCAGGGAAGAGCGGTCACAAATGATGTCTTTGTCCAGGGAGAACTGCTGCTTTGATGAAACCTACCCGCCGTTCGCCACGAATCAGTCGATCAGCGAGACAGCCCGACGGCTTCGGCGGCTTCGCCTGCTTCGCTGCCTCGTAGAGATCACATTTCTCATCGATGTACCTTGCAGAAGCTGCGCGCCCCGAGGGAGGACAGGCTGCTGCACCACGATCAGCAGAAGAACCCACGTGCTTCGGCTACAAGTACCGGCAGGTGCAATATATCAGAGTCTGGCCAACATCAGGGTACGGCAGCAGATCTGTCACAGAAGCGCACTGGATGTAACCCTTGTCGTCTGTGGGTGGCCTCTTGAAGCCCTTAGTGGTCTGCAAGCTGTAGCTAGACGAAGATAGCGGCTCGTCAACGCCAGTGAGCTCTGGGTCCCTGCGCTGGCTCCTTCTCCAAGCGTTTTCCGCGCTTGATCGGCACGTACTCAGGGACCTGGTAATTTTGGTAATTTTCACATGTTTTGAATCGGCAACTGGCTCTGGCTCCGGCCTCTCCAGGACACACAGTCTCACCTGAGTCAGCCTTTATGGTGTAGGTGCCGACCTTGCGTCAAAGTAGTCAACCCTGGGATCTCAATGATTTACTCTACGGAGCCACCTCCGTGATGTCAGATGGCTTGAGTTCGGCGAACTCAGCTCTGAAGAAGTCCTGCTACTCACTTTGTCAAGCTGAAGTGGTGCTGTTGGTCAGATCTTCAGCACGTTAAACGACTGCTCCGTGTCCAGAAACCCACCAGATGCTCATCAGAACGCATGAAAAAGGCAAATGTTCTATTGACGAACAGAGTGCGAGATTAGGACTCTACAACGGGGACCAGCTCCAGTGGTTCTTTGCGGTGTGCTTGCTATTGGGTGGCCAACAACTGTACTCTATTGTGCCTTAGTTCTGGCAAAGTATGTACCTGGTCAAAAAACAAAAACAATCGTCTGGCCCATTTGTTGCGGAAAATGTATGGGTTCAAAGTCACAACGAAGGTTCGAACATGAGACCCGGCATACCCGGCACCCCCCTTGAGGTCGGTTCCTGAGATGAGGCACATTTTGTTCATGCTTTGGGTGCCCCATACGACCTCTGGAGAATGTCGATGAACCGCCTATGGCATAAAATTGGGCTTCAATTCAAGCGAGATCGGATGTGTGCTAAAGGTCGCTGCAGTTGCAACACGATCTAAAGTACCGCCGGGATGGTAAGAACTCTACGTCTCTACATGATCAAAAGGTGAGGCTCGCCGGGTCTTCATCGCAGCAAACTTTTCTATAGAAATTATGTTTTTGTTCAATGCTTACTTTGCTTCTACATGCTAGCAAGATTCTTTTCGTACATTACCGAGTTGGGCTTGGTGAGCAGCTGACTATCCACAGCATGATGGGCAGACACTGTATTACAAACAGCATCTCCGCCTGACTCTGAGATAACCTAATCGGAGTACTGTCGACAAAGGCCGTCAGAAGACTGGAATTTGGCTTCAACATCACTTCGAAGAGATGTATCAGCACAAAGTCGGAACTTGTAAATAAGCAGACAGACGACGGCCCGGTCGATCACCTCTTGCTTTCCAAAACTTGGCAGATTTTAGCTTGTAGTTCGTCGTAGTCGGTTCTATGTACAAGGAGAGAAGAGTGAGGAAGGATATCCCATTAGACTCAGATTTGAGTGCGGAAACGATGACAATAAAGTAAGTCAGTCAAGCCACAGGGTCAGCGGCTCCGTCGGACGGGGACAATGGTGGCAGTGGACATGGATGAGCGCAGTCACCGATCACTTGACACCGACGATATCTTGCGTCGATTCATGCCATCTAAGATCTGGTGGAGGCGCCCCGGATCAGGGAAGCATAAGTTTTGCGCACTGACAGGGCACTCAAGGGTGGTTCATCTGATAATTTCGGACCGCTACTAGGACTTTCTCCGGAACTGGAGCCTTGTCCGTCTTTATGGACACAAGCGCAATGCTTGATTCCCAGAGGAAAACGGCAGAGGAAGAGAAGATCTCACCCAGTGGGTAGAAGGTAATTGGATTCTCGCCTTTGGTCTTTTCGAATCTGCGCCCTACGAGTAACCGCCACAAGCTGACCGTTCCGTGATATGAGATTGGCTCGTGCGCTTAAAGGCGGATGCGCGGTGATGTGCCGTTGTAGTGTGGCTGAACAATGCTTCATCGAGCTGCTCTATTGGTACATAGTGCAGATACCTCAAACTGTAGATCGTGAGGTGCGGTGACAATCTGTAAAGAGTTCAGAGTCTTTGCGGCGAAGATTTCATCAAGATTCCTAAACAAGACAAGCACCAGCGACAAGGGGCCAACCAGAGGCCCGGAAATTGGGGCTCGCGGTCAGAAACATGTTATCGGTTTTGTTCTGTAAGTGCAGTACTTGGCCCGGAGGGTTTGGGGTTTCGTTTGGTGTCGTTCGTTTGACCTTGCCATGTTAGTGCTCGGGTTGCAGAATTGTGTTGAGAGCTTTTTTTGTTGTAGCAGGCGGAGGCAGGTTGTTGAGGAACCGGGAGTCGAGAGCTTTAGGGCTTCGGCTTTAGAGTCTAGCCTTGGGCTTCGGGCTACAGTGTCCCATTATTTCAGGCCTAGGAATTTGAGGGCTAGAGATCTAGGGCTTAGCATGCTGGTTTCAAATCTTCCGGTTTTCAGGGCTAACATTTAGGGGCTCCGGGATTGTTTCCTGTAGCCAATCCAACGTCAGGAAAGCCACGTTGGATAAACCTTAGCAAACCTCAGCAACCACGATGACCGAAGCAACGTTCAATATCGTTAACTTGAGCAGCAGCCTGGGTCTCGAAAGCGGCAAGGGCCTGTTCCAGGTTTCTGGGTTGTCTCCAGAACAGCAGGAATGCCGAAATGTCGGACCGACCTCCGTGACACGGCCCAGAGCCATGCGTGCTGGAGCCTGTGCACGAACTTCCGTTTGAATGCATTGAAGGAAAATTTGCATTTCTGACTCCCAGTACACTTCACCGCTCTGCAAGAAGTAACGCATCATTCTGTCAATCTGAACAAGGCAAGGGTAAGCACTTATTGCTTCTCCCACGGTTGCCGACCTGTTGCCGGGTCCTTGGATCGATCTCGCATTCTTTGAAACCTAAGTAGACATCCACTGTGTACAAATCAAGCACAATGACTACAATTGGCAGACAGCGCGAGCACAGCTTTCATGTCTCCTTGCGTATCACTGAACTCTGGCGCCTCGCAACCAGAGTACGATACTTGGCAAGGCAGCACTTCAGGCTCTAGCCGCGCTGACCATAGATGTAATTTCTGTAGGGCTCTCTCTCCTGTTGTCCTTCTTCCCTGCCACACGGCTTAGTGCATAAACGCGAAAACAGAACATGACATGTCAGGGATGCCAGTTCTCGGACATCTTCTTGACGTCATCGCGCCAGCCCCAGATTTTAGCATGCCTCCCGCGAAACTGCGTGCAGCGAGTGCAAAGGTCAATCTTGGACTGCCACAAAACTGGCAAACTCCTCAAAGAGTGCCGGTTTGCACTCCGCCTGGTAACTCGGGATCGCAGCAAACCTGCAAACGCTGTCATTGCCTCAGTCCAGCTTGATGCACAGCCATGAACCCGAAATCTGTGACTGGACTCACCATTCCTCAGCTCCTGTGCTGCAGCCGTGAAAACAGCAGTGGAGAAGGTCGAAGAACCTTCTGCCGAGCACACGGTCTCGCCCTCGCCCTGGTGCTTCCACATTGCTTCCAGCCATGGGAACTCATCCAAACTTCCTAGGCTTCTTGCCAAAGGTAGCACTGGCCGCAGCACGCTGTGGCCTCAAGCACAGGCACCGAATCGCCTACCAGCTGTCTTGCTGGCCTTCGCTTCCGAGATTGGAGCTCTGCGGCATGCCGTACGTCTGGGAGCCTGCGTAGAGATAAACACTGAAAAAGCCAGTTGTATCAGTTTAACCCTGAATTCTCACGCGACGCGAGCCATGCCTCAGCTTGGCCCCACTGCTAACGAAGGACACGGCAGGCAGACAAATGGCCTCATGCAGATATGTGATTTGCAGCTCAGCTGGTGAAGATAGGTCCCGAGTAAAACACCGCAGCCAGGCAAGCTGGAAGTAACAGCAGACGAGTCTGCCTGCATGGAGGCATCAGATTTCTGACCTGGACCTGCATCTACTCCTTCAGAACTTACAGCCCACGAACAGCCAAACCGTTCGCTTTGCTCCCACATGCCCTCTGCACACACATCATTGGATAAAGACGTTCTCAAGACTCCATCAAGGTCCAAGTCAAAAAGCCGCCTGGTCGCCATCAAATGCACCACTCGTGCAGGGGCAATACAATACGGGGGAAAAATGGGAGGCCACCCTCCCAGCTGGAAGCCAAGGAAAGGAACATTCTCCAACTCAGAAATGTCACAAATGCCTGTTCAAGCGTGCGTAGCCAGGCAAGCAGACATGACGAGAAGGTAAGGTTGTTGCAAAACTGCTTGGATGGCTATGAGCACTACCGTCCCAAACTGTCTCGTCTCTGCATCCTGAGACATGGCTTTGCAACCTGGGACGAGATCTGCCACGCCATTACGAAAGACATTCTCAAAGCACCTCACGTCGTTTTTGGAATTCAATGAGTGTCTCGGTCTCTGTCTGTCTCGAAATGGTGTGTTTCTAGTACTTGCTATGAAACGTATGAAGCGGCTGGCGTGCCTTAGCGCTTTGCGCTAAGCCCTGCGCGGAACGGTACAAAATAATTGATGCATTGGATAATTCGAGAAAGCGATTTTACAATCTGGACACGCCGAAGGCAAGCCGGGCAATGTAGTCCGGATATTCTTCAGGACCCTCCTGGTCAGTTGCCAGGCACTGCACATTTTCCATGCATGCACTTCATCACCTCACCATGTACTAGCTACAGGGGTTTGGGATGGGCATGCACCTGCTCTCGCCAACAACGACGGTATGAGGCCACTTCGTCAGCCAATTGGACCAGCCGTCTGAACTTGTCGTCTTCTGCGCCTGTGCGGTTGATAGCGGCTAATAGCGTTAGCACGTTTAGCACAATAGGGCAAGCCCCTGTCGCGGTGGGTTGCGTGTCAATACTCAGTGTTTGCCGGCCTGGAACCCCTTTGCAACCGAAGTACCACTGGAGCTTAAGTCGGACAGTATTCCATCTGATACTGCACCGGGCCTGTGGTGAACAGACGAGCTGCATGTCTGTTCAGAAAAACTGTCTCTCGTGTGAAAAACCGGAAAATATCGGTCCTAGGCCGAATGTAAAACTGTTCACGCAAGGCAACGATGCTAGATGTGCCAACGGTCCGCACAGCTCAATCCCTTTGTGCAGGAAGGCAGTCGTTTCTGTATGGCGGCTGCATGGGTCGATAACACACCCCTGACTCTTTGATGCTTTACGAAAATGTCCCGTCTTTGCTCACCAACATTGTTGCTTACACTGGCGATCTTTGATTTGCACTGCTAAAGCTGCAACGGTGGGAAATCCCGTGACGGCAACTAGAGGAGTTGGAAGAACAGGTTCGTGCAGCGTCTTCCTCCGACAGGCCTCTATATTCTGGCTCGAGTTCCAGTGCCACGACTGGTTCCTTGGATACCGAGCTTCTGCGTCAGATGCTGTTGCATCGCACGAAGCAGAGAGTTGGCTGACTCAGCTGCGGCTCGCCTTGGTTACCCGTCCGTCTCGCCCATCTGACGATACCCAACTCGCTGTAAGTCTGCAAGGCTTTGCGCAGGGGCTCCTCTGATGCAGCCTGCAACAAAAGAAATTTGCAGCAGCTTCGCAATAATTCAACAGCTGTGGCAGTCCTCGTTGTACTGGACATGGCCCATGTGAACAAGCGTCTTGGCAAAGCTCTGCATGTGGGAAACTGCTGGCTTTTCCCCGATGATGACAATGCCGTTGCGAAAGATATAAAGAAGTGAAGCCTCGAATGCCGGGCACGGACAGACCCAAGCATGGCCCAAAAAGAGACCAGAATTTGACGGAAACGTCTGATGCACCGTTGCCCTGCACAATTTGGCATGTTTCGGTACAGGTCTTGCGCAGCGAGAAACTTAAATTCGGATGATGGAGACTTCGGGAGCCCAGAGTCTGCGAGTTCTAGTTGACCCGAGATTCAACCAAGCAGCGGTAGACAGATTCAACGTTTGCATCTTACAGTCTTGCGCTACAGAAGGTGCACATGACAGGCCACGCCATTCGACCCAGGTCACGTTCTTACTACTACGCAATTCCATCCGCAACTCGCCCGACAAATCCCACAATGACACGAGAATCATGCGCTCATGATGCGGCCACTAGTTTGCAGTCGCCAAAACGCCAAGATGAAGTTGTCAAGCTCCAAATCCGAGCAGTGGGACGCCAGCAAGTTGCAGAGGAAGTGGTGTAGCAGAATGGTCGACAGCCACTACCGGTTTCCAGTGCTGATACTAGCTGCAACATCTACAGACAGTGAGTGCGTCCCTTGAGCCGGCGTTAACTGGACTACAACACAAAACTGCATGATATGGTCTGGAGCAAACAACTACTCGACAATTTCAAAGTGGCGTCATCGACCTGCCTTTAGGTGCTGTGAGCCACACAGCGCTGAATGTCAGACCGAGTCACAAGAACCAGCCAGTAAGATTCCTTGGATGCATTCAGTCAATATCCAATGATGCAAACACGAAAAAGGCCATCAAACTGCCAAGTCGCAATTAAAGGCCAAATCATGGAACAAAGAAACGTGAAGTGCTTGTTCCAGTGGTCATATCCGCCCATTTCCTGCATGTGCAGCACATTGCTGTCATCAAGAACCACACCCACCGGTGTTCAGAACCTGTTTCTTGGCTGGCACGTGGATGCAAATTTCGTTACTTAGCCTTAGTGGTCCAAAGCCAAACCCAATAGGCTGTCTGTCCACTGAACAGATTGTTGATTCTTCCACTGCCCAACAAACAGCTCGTTTTTGAGTTCCTCGCTTTGTCGCTCATGCTGCTTCCCCAAAGCACGCCTGCGCGCGGTGGTATTGCTTCAGGGAGATCGCCCCACCTGAGGCAGAGATGGCACCCGTGGGTGAAGCGAAAAGAGGGGCAAGCCTCGATTAAAAAAATACCACCAGAGAGCCATGCTTGGAACAGAACAGTGCACACTTTGCCACAAATGCTCACAAGGCATCAAATGTTACAGTAGCAGGATGTGACAAGCGCATCTTGCTGCTTCAGCATCTCTGCCTGCTCGCCAAAACTTCACTGGATGACGGTTTCTGATGGAACTTGCAGATGGTTCGAACACGACCAACTGAATGACGACGGATAGAATAAATTTGAATAGATAACATCGAAACTTTGACAATGGCAATCAGAGCGTTTTCGGGAGGAACGTGTTGACAGGACGTACCAGCGTGTGCAAGCATCGGACACATCCAAGCTCAACTACTCATGGAATACGGGCATCGCTTACTACCGGAACACACCAAAGTCACTTTTGGAGCGGCCGATACCGAAATGACACTGCCGTTTGGGGCATGGCTGTGTTGCCGGAGGCACCATGTGGAACATTACAAACAATGGGAAGAGGGAAATCGCCAAAAGCATCGTGCGACAAGAAGAAGAAACAACGCTCATCACAGGACGGAGCATGACAACATCCACGAGGGCTTCTAGACCCTCGATGAAGGGAAATGATTGGAAAAAAGCGTCATCCCTCCAGGGCTTGTTGAACGACCTATTGGCAACTCGCGGGACAGGGTCCCAGATTCCATCATCGCAGCAGGTATCATTCCGGCATCCCACTCTGTTTCTGTCTGGAGTCCGAGTTCGTGACGACATCATCGCAACCTGTGCCAAAGCGCCTTGGGCAGGATCAGCCTTTTCGGAGCGAAGCCTGCACGCGTTGAACCACACCGATCTAGAGAGCATCCATCAAGAGTGTACCAACATCCAGAGTGCCGCTTGTCTGCATGCCTGCAGCCATACAACGCTTGATAGGTCGCGCAACGGTTTGCGAGAGCTTGCCGACGTGCGCTGGATCCTCCATGAGTTTCGATTACGACTGCGGCTCCAAGCGCTAAAGGCTTTAAGCCTTCTATCAGAGATCATGACTGATGTGTGTGACTACTAGGCACCCGCCTTGAAAATGCGCGATGCCAGCCTGAACTATCTTGCCATGGTATGTCACCTGTTTGGGTCCACTTGCCCCTGTGGTGCGAGCGCAATGCCATGTCCATGAACTCTCTTCCCCCACAATCATTTCCAGTGAACTGGTGATGGCAGACAGGAAAACACATGCCAAACGGAAGGGGAAAGACGAACAGAAAATTCAAACGCTTTCAGCTACAGTCTGGACTGCTGCAGTGGTACCGGCTGCCTCACTCCATGATGAGGCCGCTTGCTTAGCCTCTACAACTCAGCCACTTTCCACCCAAATACCCCACTATGTAAATGTCATGATCAAGGCGCTGTCTCTCCCAACCTATGCTGCATCCGCCGATAACTCGTGAAACATCAGGTGTAGCAAATCAGCGGGCATTTGAGTAGGAGGGGACCGGCCTCTAATTCTGCGGGATCTGTATCAGGAGCAGAAGAACACATA